GTTAGTTCCACTTTTTTCTAGGATAAACAACGCTGCTGTGAACAACTTCATGTATGACTCTTTGGGCACAGTTACCTGTTCAGCTTTATTTTGTTTTGGCAAATTATTTAAATAATGGGATTGTAATAATTTGCATTCTCACTAGCAAGCTTCCTGTATTCCTAAATACTCAAACACACTTAAAGTCAATAATGTTATTATTTTTGCCAATAATAGGAGTATAAAACGTTATCTCATGATTCCTTATTTTGCATTTTTGTTATTTCCAACGAGATTAAATATCTTTTTATATGTTTATTGGCCATTTGGATTTTTATCTCTGTGAATGCAATATCCTTTGATTATTTTGTATTTCTTATATTTTTGTCTTTTTTTTATTGACTCATTAGTATTCTATACGTATTCTGAATACTAGATCCTTTATCCAACAAATTATCTATAGTCACATTTACCAGCCTGTTTGTTTATTGCTTCAATAAAGTACTTTTTAGGCTTTTCTGTGAGTTAAACTCTTGCTACATAAAGTGTGATGCATGGACCAGGAGCATCAGCATCAGCTGGGAATTTGTTAACAATGCAGATTCTTAGGGCCCACCCGAGATCTGCTAAATCAGAATCTGAATTTTAACAAGACCACTAGATGATTTTTATGTGCATTAAAGATTTTTTAAATACTGGATTAAGTGATTAAGAAAGTGCAAATTTTCTTCCCTGGGGTGATAGCATAGTAGTCCCCACCTGCTTTCTGCTGCTTTTTTATAAATGAAATTCCTTGGCTTTGGACCTGTATGTCCTCAGTTCATATATCCTGGAGTTGTACCACAAAATTTCAGAAATCAAAGAAGCTATTAGAATCTGATTTATTGATCTCGGGGTCATGAGATTGAGCCCCGCATCAGGCTCCACGCTCAGCACAGAGTCTGCTTAAGATTCTCTCTCCCTCTGCCTCCGCCTGCCCCCCAGTGTGCACATGTGCTCTCTCTCAGATAAATATATATATAAAAAAAGAATCTGATTTGTAAGTCTGGATGTTTATGGGATTTTGAAAAAAAGTTTTCCAAGTGGAGATACACCTGTTTTTCTGATTCCCAAGAAAGAAACAGTGTTGGCAACTGCATTGTAATGCAATTCAAAATGCAAGCCTTGGAGGTTTTGTTGAATGCTGCCAAGAAAGGAACTAGTTCAGCCAGGAAGCATAATCCATCAAATGTCTTCCTTGCTTGTACATGCCTCTATTTTTAAGTTGACACAGAATGCTCCAGAAATGAGTAACAGCTAGAATTAATAGGGGAAACTGCCCAGGGTTGTGCATGTCATCAGACATGTGATGACTCCTCTATATCAGCATGATTTTCTGGGGTTGGCCAGCTAGGAAGGGGAGCACACGCGGTGAAAGCACAGGACTGCAGCGGAGAGTCATGAAATTGTACCTTAGAACTCCCTGCCTCCTCCAGCATGAGGGAAGGGACTCCACGGGTTAAGACCATCTGGCTATGGGGTGTGGTGGAGATATGTACTCCTTCCTGAACGTCACGGACGCTCTCCCCTTTCCCCGCCTGCCCGTAGTGTGCAGGGGCACAGAACACTGGATCTGGCCAAGGGGTGGTAAGAAGCGGAAACGTGTTGCCTCTGGCCTGAAACATTTCATTTCCTGCTTCCTCTCTCTCTAGACCTGCTACGGCAAGCAGAGAGGTCAGGCAGGAGTCACAAATGGTGCGGCTACAAGATCGCTGAAACTCCATCAGTGGTCCCGGCCCGTGAGTGATCAGGTAAAGCAGATCCCCCCCGCCACTGACCCATGTTGGACATGTAGCATGAGTGAGGGCCCCCCCACTTTTGTTTGTGTTAAGCCACTGAGATTTGAGTGTTGCTTGCAATGTAGCATAGCCTGGGTTATGTGGATACAGTAAGCCTAGCTGACTCTGCCTTATTCATGAGAGCCCAGGCATCACACTGTAAGTTCCATGTGCATGATCTAGTACCTCACCTTCCGGGATAGACAATAGTATTATATATTTATGACATATGCGATATGTATCTGTATCATATGTATCAATTTTATGTAGATACCATCTTATGTATATGTATTTATACATATACAGCCTCAGGGGGGGAGGCTGCTTCTCCCTCCCCCCTCTTATGTATTGTGCAAGGAAGTTTTCTTCCTTTCCTCTTGTTATGCTAAAAGTAGTGTCTCCCCTTCTAGCTAAGACTAGTCCCTCCACAGGCGATCTGGATACCATCTCTTCCTCCCTTAGAGTATTGATTATTCCTTCACTCTCCTGAATCTGTGTTTTCTCTCCTATTTGCTTTGCCCCTCACCATTCTCAAGTCTCTCCAAACTTAAGAGAAGCCCTCCATCCACCTCTTTTGCCCCTCCAAATACTGTCTCCTGTCCCCTCCTGTCCTGTTTCAGTCTCCTGGGTGTCCAAAGTGTTCACCCTCACTTGTTTCTCTCATCTTTTCCCACTCTCTACTCCAGTATTCTTTCTTCCTCCATCACTCTACCAAACACCTTTTTTCAGCACTAATGATATGCATTAAGAAATTCAGGGGGCAGTTTCCACCTTACTTCATTTCTCAGCATCACGTGACACAACTGACCACACCCTCCTGTTGAAACCCTATTCTATCGGCTCTCTCTCTGTGGCTCCTCTCTGCTTTCGAGCTTCATCATCTCTTGTTGGGCCATTGAATGTTGGCCTTCAGCATGACTCATCCTAGCCTCTCTTTCCTTTTCATTCTATAGTCACTTTCCAGTCTTTCACCTAGAAGTCTTTCCCAAGGCTACCTAGACCCAGGCACCCCCAAATATGTCTCTCCATCTGGGGCTCCTACTTGCCAACTGGCTGCTCAGCTCAGCGCCTCCACTTTGATGCCTTAGTGTGCTCAAGGCTGAACTGTAATGTACTCTCCACCCCGCCTACCTAACTCCACCCTTCCTTCTCTTTCCTCGGTGTTCCCCATCTTAGTGAATGGCACCACCCTTCCCCTATTTGCTTATGTTGGAAACCCGGGAGTAGAGCTGCATCAATACCTCCTGGAACACTCAGCAGCAAAATGTGCTTTCTCTTTTTGAAATTAAAAAAAAAAAAAAACTTGGGGCGCCTGGGTGGCTCAGTCGTTAAGCGTCTGCCTTCGGCTGAGGTCATGATCCCGGGGTCCTGGGATCGAACCCCACATTGGGCTCCCTGCTCAGTGGGGAGGCTGCTTCTCCCTCCCCACTCCTCCCCTGTTCCTACTCTCTAGCTCCCTCTCTGTCTCAAATAAATAAATAAAATCTTTAAAAAAAAAAAAACTAAACAGCATAACTAAAGGAAGTCTTTAAAAATTCTTACTTTCAAAAAAAAATAAAAAATAAAAATAAAAATTCTTACTTTCCCATAGTGACTATTATGATGCTTTCACGAAGAATATCTTATTTTTCCCAAAATAATTTAGGGCCCTTCTTTGCTGTTGTTCTAAGAGCTATTTGGTAGTCCTGCACTGCCTAAGAGTCAATAGTCAGATACCATTTCTTATTGATTCTACCTCCTAAGACATTTTCAAGTCGGCCTTCTCCAGATCTGCCAATAAACCATCTTCTAAGCCATAGTGACTGGTTGTTGGTATATCTGCAATAGCCCCTGAACCCTCCTCCTTGCTCCAATTATTCCCCACAAATCAGCCGGGAAATACACATAGCTGATCCTGTCACTCCACTGCCTAAAACCCCTCAATGGCTTCCCATTGTCCTTAGGGTGAAATCTCAGATCCTTAACAGGCCCACAACCCTGCCACTTTGCCATGAGCTGGTGTTACCTCTTTGAGCTCCTGGAAAGAGCTCTGTTCTTTATGAGCCTTTACCCACGACTTACTTTCTGCCCAGAGCTCTGTCACCTCTCCCAGCTTCTCCTGCTTCAGTTCTTAGATTTAATGATGTTTCTTCAGATAAGCATCTCTTAACATGTCACACCATGTCAGTGCTCTCCATTAAACACTTTCTTTGTACCCCCCACTTTGCTTTGTAAGTAAATGATTATTTGTGTATTGCCTCGTTTAATCTTTCCTTCCAGTTTTAATCAAACTCCCTGAGAAAGTCAATAACATGCTCTCCTACACACAAGGTCCTTGAATCCAGCTTTGATTCCAGAGCTCGTGCCCACAACTACCACATGTACCTACATTTCCTCATCCTGGAAGTTGGCTTTTTGCCTCTTTGTTTTATGGTGTATGGGAAACTAAAGTTTGTAGAAAAATCTCTCTGGACGAATCCTAAAGCAATGGTGTTCTGCTGTTGGTGAATCTCTTCGTGCATTTCCCGTCAGTAGTGGATGGCACACCTCAGCCTTCTGGGGGAGGACAGAGGGAGACATTCAAAGCTGTGGACAGGTTGGGCTGGCTAAACTAGACCCCAGCTCTCCTCCACTGTATAATCAACACATCCATGAGGGAGCAACATGAACCACCTTACAGGACTGAGGTAAGACTCATTCATTCTTTAAAGATTTAATGAGCATCTAGTATATGGAAGGTCTCGGGTTACATGCTGGGAATACAAATGCGTTTTGGATGTTTAGCAGAGTCCCTATTTCATTTAGTTAGAGACGGTCACTTATTACTAGTATTATTACAGTTATGTGTCGACGTTTGCCTGTGTCACACAGCCTGAGTGACAGAGCATGTGATATTTGTGACGTTTGTCACTATGCTTACGGGGTCCCTGCGGGGCCTAGATAAACCGCCAACATCAGCGCGCGGGCTCAGAAGCATCACTGCGGGGCGTGGGCGCCCCTCCCCTCCCGGCCACCAGAGGGCGCGCGGCCTCTACCGCCCCGCCCGCTGCGTCTGCGCCTGCGCCTGCGCCGTGCCGGCCGCCCAGCCCTCCGCTCCCCTCCCCTGGCGCCAGCCCCGCCTCGCGCCCGAACGTTCCGCCTCCGTTGCCCCTAGCGGCTGTTTGTTGACTTCCGGGGACGCGGTAGTAGCCGATGTCCGGGGTGTCGCTATGGGGGCCTGGGGGGCTTCCGCGGCCCGCGTCGGGACTGAGGCGCTGCCATAGGCCCCACCGAATCGCCCCTGCCACCTTTCCAGTTCAGGCGCAGGCTCCCCGCACCGCCCTCGGCATGGGGGAACCCGAGGAGGTGGTGCCCGGTGAGTCGCGTCCGCGGGGGTGGTGGCGGGCCCGGGAGGGAGGGTCCGCGGGCGGGCGGGCGGCCAGGTCCCGCCTCCGGGCCGCCCCGTCGGGGGAAAGGCCCGGGCGGCGGCCGCGGGACTGGGTCTGGAGCTCGGGCCGCGCCTCCGCGAAAGCTGGAGAGGAGCGGAAAGGAAGGCGGGGGGAAACACGGGGAAGGGGGTGCTTGTGTTTTCTTCTCTTTCTTTTAAAATAAGCTTTCGATGAGTTTCTCGAACGTGGGGGTAGTTTTTACCTCCCTATAAACTTCCCTAAAGTACCTCCCTCGAGGTCCCCAGGACCCAGTTAAGTATTGAATGCAGTAAAGAGTGGGTGACTAGAGGGCGTGGGGTAAAAGAGGAAGGGGGGAAACAACTTAGAGAAAGGGGGTGCGGAGGGAGCCATTAACGAGTGCTCTTCCAAGACTTTTTCCCTGAGCTCCAGAAGTACAATTGACATTGTGACGCCATGCCACAAGTATAGTGTAACAGACGTAGACGTTTCATGAAGTGGTGCTTACTCTAACCACTTGGTATGCTCTCAGATCTTTTTTATAGTACATTCCTTTAAAAATGATAATCGTGACCCCCTAAATTGATTTTCTGACCCACTAATGGATCAAGACCAACAGTTTGAGAAAAACACTGGATTACAGCAGAATCAAGTGTGTGTGTGTACATATATATTTAGCGTTTTCTGCCATGCTCTTGACTCTAACATGATTAGATTCCTGACCTCCTGGAGTTCACAGGCCAGTGAGAGCTACTAGAAAGTAAACAAAATGACAGTACCATTTCACAGTAGATACCAGGTGACAGAGCAGAGCCACCAAACCCTGGCTTGGGGTGAGGGTATCAGGGCAGGCTATCTGGGAAGCCAGAATAGAACAAAACAAAATTATTCATTCTAGAAAAACCCAGAGTGTGTTGTAGAACCTGGCCTCTTCAATTTCAATTATCAGTTTGAATTGACACGCCTCACAATTGTTCTCAAAGGGTTTTTCACAGTGGCTAGTCCCTTGTACATTATCATTTATTATTAATACTTATGTTCCCTATGTTTATGGTACCCATTAGTTTCTTTCTGTGTGATTATTCTTGAGATTTCCTCAAAAGCTGGATCTGGCCTTGTGTGTGTGTGTTTAAATGGTTATTGAAAACTGGTAGGGATTTTTGGTCTCTCTCTAAAATGGTACTGAACCAAAATAGTCTGTGAATACTGCTCAGATCAGGTTGTATTTAATGACTTAATTTAAGAGGATGTTAAATCTCAACATCCTATATCGGCATGATGCGAATGGTGAAACTCAATACTGTCCTATTCCCATGTGTGGGGAAAAGCCTTCAATCGGGCTAGACCAGGAGGTGTTAACCAGTGTTAATGGGGCATGGATTTTATCAGTCAGCTCATTCCAGGGAGCAGATGGTCCACCTGGGGACAGCAGGACTTTTAGTAACGCGTTGAGAACTGCCTGCCTTTTTTTTACTTTCCACCAGTAAATAATACATATTTAGTAGATTTCATAAATAAAACCGGAATAAAGTCTGAGTGAGACTGAAGGTAGAAGTAGGATGTCAACAGTGCTAGAGTGGAAGCAGAGCTGCCACAAGACCAGGAATCTGTATAGATAAGTTACTGAGAAAAATAGTAACAGACAACATAGTAAAAGTTGAAAAATGGATACTGTCGTGTATTTGCAGGTTCGGGTGCTGTGTTTACATTTGGAAAAACTAAATTTGCTGAAAATATTCCCAGCAAATTTTGGTTTAAAAATGATATACCTACATTTCTTTCATGTGGAGATGAACATACTGCTATTGTTACAGGTTAGTACTGAAATCCTAAGTGAGGATGGTAATCCTCAGAGAATCCAAAATATTGTAGATGTGCTGTGTTTCAAACATGTTGAATATACTTTCCTTTACCAGAGTAATGTTTTTTCTTTCTTTTATCAGAGAATTCTTGACAATTTGATTCAAGAGTGTTTTAAACTTTGAATCCCCTTGGTATATTTAAATATGATTTTGTATACACACTACTTTCTTGAATAAATTTATTTTAATATATATGATCAAAAGTGATTACTGCATAATCTTAGAAACTTTTTTTTTAAGATTTTATTTATTTATTTGACAGAGAGAGACACAGCGAGAGAGGGAACACAAGCAGGGGGAGTGAGGGAGGGAGAGGCAGGCTTCCCGCCGAGCAGGGAGCCCAATGCGGGGCTTGATCCCAGAATCCTGGGATCATGACCTGAGCTGAAGGCAGACGCTTAACGACTGAGCCACCCAGGCGCCCCTCTTAGAAACTTTTTTACACCTAACAGAATCTGGTAACCCTTAGACGAACAGTTAAAACAATTCATTTAAACCTGTTTGTAACCTTGTAACCTGTTTCAACACGGAAAAGCAATACAACTTTTAAGTGTAGCTTTTTTATTGCTTTGTGATGACTTCATCTCACATGACTTTGTTGAAAATGCTTCAGTTTCTTATGTCTTTTTCCTTCCCACCAGGAAATAATAAACTTTACATGTTTGGCAGTAACAACTGGGGCCAGTTAGGATTAGGATCAAAGTCAACTGTTAACAAGCCAACGTGTGTCAAAGGTTTGGGGTCTTTTCTTCTTTATTGCTTTAAATACTTACACTATATAAAGTACTTTTATATTGATTGTGATGTTCTTTAATATCATATTGGGAATAATAAAGCCTTTAGTTCTTTAGTTTCCATTCTTTACCTATTATTGGTGTTTAACTTTATTTAATTAATTAATTTATTTATTTTTAAAGATTTTATTTATTTATTTGACAGAGAGAGACACAGCGAGAGAGGGAACACAAGCAGGGGGAGTGGGAGAGGGAGAAGCGGGCTTCCCGCTGAGCAGGGAGCCTGACGTGGGGCTCCATCCCAGGACCCTGGGACCATGACCTGAGCCGAAGGCAGACACTTAACGACTGAGCCACCCAGGCGCCCCTTAACTTTATTTTTTATATGATAATCAGAACTACTTTTATATATTAGGGTCTAAAAATCACATTGCTTTTTAAACCCAAAGAACACGAAGTAATGATTCTTCGGTATTGCACTTGAATATCCTTTTACTTTGCCTGTTTGTTAATCTGCTTAAATATTACTGTTATTGTATATACAAAGAACAACCAATACAATATGTAAGAATTTTGAGCTTTGTCTCATTTGTTAGAGTTGTGGGCATCATGGTTCTATGTAGTTAGTTTTATGAATTACACTTTACCCTGCTGCATATAGTGAGTAGACGTACTGAATGAGTCATCGGGACTAGGGGTTGATTAGTACTAGTGTCCTTACAAGAACAGGGCAAAATATTTTAAATCAGGACTGTCCCAGAAAACATGGGATGTATAATACCTTTACAAAGCTTTCTTAGCATTATGTGTAAAGCTTCTGTTGGGTCGTTACCTGTGAACATCAACTACGCTTGAGTGGTAATGGAGATTCTTTGGGATGTGCCAAGAGCAGTATTCTTAATCTTCTTAGCTAAAGTTTTAATTTCAGCTCAAAATGTCATTGTAATTTAGCATATCCTTGCCATTTGTAGATAATGTTATGGAATTTTCAAAGTATTCTGCTTGGTCAAAAAGTGTTTATTGAGCACAATCTACTATAAACCCTAGGTTGGTTGGTTGGTTGTTTTTTTTTTAAACCCTGGGTTTATTCACATGATCTTTACTCTCAAATATCTAATAGATGAAGTAACAGGATTGTCTAGACTGTGATCTTTGACACCAGGGACTCTGTCTTAGTGATCTTTGCAGCCTCTATGCTAAGCACTTAGGAGGGGTTCTGTAAATCTTTTTTGAACATGTAAATGAATGAGTGAAGAGCTTTACCATAGGTTATGTCTATGAATATTGGACTTGTAGTGTTTCATTGTGTGAGGTAGAAGGTGAACTTGACAATGGTGATAGCAGATTAGGGAATAGATCAGGTTGGTGAGGAGGCAGCATAACAGTGCCACGAATCTCAGTACATATTCATTACCTGTGGAGATTTGAAAAATATATAGCAGACCTACTGACTCACATTCTCCAGGGGTGGGGCTGAGCTATCTGTATTTTTCTCAAAGCTCCACTGGTTATTATGATGCACAGCTAGTCCTGAAAACTTTTGGCTTATTAGTTAAGAACATCAACTTTGGAGTCTGACGGGCCTGGGTTTAAATCTCGTTTCTACTGCTTAGTTACCATTTGACCTGTGTTATTTATCATTTTTGTAACCATAAAATCTTTTAATTATTTTTTTTTGTATTTTTAGCTTTAAAACCTGAAAAAGTGAAATTTGCTGCCTGTGGACGGAACCACACCCTAGTTTCAACAGGTGTAGTATTCAATCTGTATGACTTCCTTCCCAATTTGAGGACAGAGTTCTCATTTGTGGCTTTGTAAAATTAATAGAAATGGTACCTTGGCAATAATAAGATTAGGATTTTTAAAAATGTAAATGGTTAGCACAGTTGTTTGCCTTTGAAAATACGTAGATAAATGTTAAGTGGCTGCAGAAAATCATCTTTTCTTGGATTATGTCAAGGGGAAGCCCATCCTTACCTATGTGCACACCTCAGGGGCCGCTTGCTCCTGATCTTGCTCTTTCCTCTTTTCTGAGGGTGAGTGGAAGCCACCCCCAAAAGGCTATTGATGTGAGCACAATTCCAATCAACATCCAAATGGGCTGTGTATGTCTGTGTGTAGAAACTGACAAGGTGATTCTAAAGTTTATATGAAAAAGCACAGGACCTAGAATAGCCAAAACAGTTTTGGAAAGAACAAAACCGGAGGGCTAACACTACTGATTTCAAGGCCTCTAAGGCCATAGTAATCAAGACACTGGGCTCTTTGCAAAAAGAGAGACAGAGATTATCAGAACAAAACAGAGTCCAGAAGTAGACCCACACATATCTGCCCAACTAATGTTTGGCAAAAGTGCCAAGGCAATTCAATGGAGAGAGGGTAGTCTTTTCAACACATACTGCTGGAGCAAATGGACATCCAGGCGCTGATCACCGAGCAGCCTGTCCTACCCCCTTCTCCCCCGTAGCCTCTTCTGTGTTCAGGTTATTCTCACCGCCTCCGGCTCCTCCTCAGCCCTTTCCCCTCATTCATACTTTTTCCTTGCCAAAATTCCTTTCTTTTATTCAGATTCTTATCTTTTAAGATCCAATATAAGTCTTCTTCCATGGAGCTTTCTGTGCCTATTCAGCTTTGACTCATGTCATGCTCTGAACTGCTTTAGTCTTCCACCAACTCTGGTTCACGCGATATGTGTTAAATCACGTGGCCTTGTGGTATGTTCCATTGGAAAGCTAGTCTTGGTTCCTCAGCTGGGTGTCATCTTTTCTAATATAATAATCTAACTTTAAATTTTTACTGATTCAGGCTGATTTTGCCCTCAGTTTCCCCTATAATTTAGTGAGGCTTTTACTTCACGTGCATTTGTATGACAGATATAACTAATTTTTAATATGGGTATGTTTTTAAAAATCTTCATTACTTTTGAGCTTACTGGCAATTTATTATCTGGGCATGATACACTTCATATTTAATTAATAAAGTAATTAACACACATTTACATAGTGTGTACAAGCAAGTGCCGTTCTAAGAATTTTATAAATGTCAGCTAATTTGATCTTTAAAGACAACTCTGTGAAGTAGGCAGTATTCTTATCCCCATTTTGCAGATGAGGAAAATGAGCCACTGAGAAGTACAGCTTGCCCTAGGTCGCACAGCTGATGAGTGGCAAGCCAGCATTTGCACCCAGGAAATCTGGCTCTCCAGTCCTTTCTCCTAAACACAATACTATACTGCCTTCCTATTTAGCTAGAAGATTAAAATACACATAGAATTTTCATGTTTCTAATGATACTCTTTTTGGATTTGCCTCATTTTACTCGTTACGTATTATATCTTTAATGGGTATGGAAGTTAAAATTAATGAACCACATCTCTTTTAAAATAGTTTGATTTGGATTATAAACTAATTTGGAAATTACTTTCCTCTTTTTGCTCTGATTTAATAAAGTGCTGCATTAGCAAGAAAATACATTCCACACATTCTGTGCATTTCAGTTGCTACTTAAGCTCTAAACCGATTTAGAAAATCTCACAAACATGTATAACCTTGCTTGTTTTGCTTGATTTTTGATACCGAATTAAAGTTGTTCACCGAATGGTAGGATAATGTCAGCTTTCAGCTTTTTTCACTGTTAACAGGGGAAATATCTGGTACGTGGCCTGTCTCGTAAAGATGGTGACTGTAGTATATTGATGTTTCTTTCCTTTTCCATGTGCAGAAGGAGGCAAAGTATACGCAGCTGGAGGAAATAATGAAGGACAGCTGGGACTTGGTGACACTGACGAGAGAAACTCTTTTCATCTAATTAGTTTTTTTACTTCCCAGCGTAAGATTAAGCAGCTCTCTGCTGGATCCAATACTTCAGCTGCACTAACTGGTGAGACTTTGTTCCACTTCAGGCTGGGAACCATCCCTTTCCTTTAGACCAGGATATACCAACTGAGCCACCTGACCCCAGCATTGCTGTTTTGTTTTCTTTCATTAACTATGTGTTTATGAAGACATAAAAATTGAAGTTTGAATCATGACCTGGAGTCCAGTTTTGTGCTTATTTAGAGTGAGATGTAAACACACACGTAGCTGCCATGCTTCCATCTACTCCTGTAGATATTAAATCGTCATCGTGTGTTCTGAACGTTATATTTGCAGCCATAATAAAGTTACTATCAGAAACATAGAAATCTATTAGATATGTGTTAACAGAATATGGTCTGGGGGTGCCTGGCAGGCTCAGTCGGAAGAGCACGTGACTCTTGATCTTGGAGGGTTGTGAGTTCGAGCCCCACCGTGGGTATAGAGATTACTTAAATAAACTTTAAAAAATAAAATCAAATACGGTCTGTATTGGTCATGGCATCTCTCTGCCCCCCCTCTCAAAGCCCATATGAGAAATGTCTTTAAAATGGGAGCCAAGATACACGCGGTGTCTGTGAAGAAGCTGCCAGTGGGCTTCTCCGCTCCAGTGGGGGAGCTGTGTGGCCCCCAGCGCCGCTCCAGCTGCTGGGAGGGCTGGAGTCACATCTGCAGCACCATGCCCGCAGTACCGTCCACCATCCACTTAGCCTCTCAACATCCTTGTGGTTCCTATTTTCAGTTTTCCTTTGATTTGCCTTATTATTAAACCACTTCAAAGATTTGAAAATTTTAAATTCATTAAAGGACGTAAGTCTTGATAATTTCTAAAGTATTTTGCCTAGCTTCACTTTTTCTTCCATTGAAACCCTAATCAGAAAGAATACACGCTAATGCATTTGGGAGATTCTCTATGTGCTCAGATATCTCCTTAATCTCTGAAGCTATGGTATGTGTTTTCAACTGTTAAAAAAAAAAAAAGTGAAATGCATTTCTTTTTCTTTTTTGCCTTTCTTTAAAACTTCGTTTTTATAGTGTTCTCAAGAGCAAGGTCCTCCGGCCCTTTTGACCTGGGACTTGCCCAGGAAATGTCCAGTGTGGCTCATGCTGTCGTTCAGTTCAGTTGTAGGCTGACTGCTTGAAAAGAAGAAACATTTGCTGTTCAGAGACAGTAGACTAAGAAAAGGTTGAGATAAAAATATGGACACGATTTGCATCATGTTATCCTCTGTCCTTTATCATCATAGAAGCCTTTCATAGTAGAAATTGAACTTTTATGCAGCTAGCTGGTGTGAATGTCTTAGTAGCACTTTTCTCTCAAGACACGTAGTTTTTCTAAATTAAAAAAATGCTGTGTTGGAAATATAATAACTTGATAGCCTTGCTACCTCTTAAAACCTTTTTTTCCTCCTTGTGTTTTCTTTATAGAGGATGGAGAGCTTTTTATGTGGGGTGACAATTCTGAAGGGCAAATTGGTTTAAAAAATATGACTAACGTGTGTGTCCCTCAACAAGTGACTGTTGGGAAACCTATCTCCTGGATCTCTTGTGGATATTACCATTCAGCTTTTGTAACAAGTAAGACAGAACATTTTGGATTCATCATGTTACCTCGTATTTCTAAGTGTTTACTCAGTTAATGATAAAATCTAACATTCTGCAGTTGTGTAGAAATAATGCCATGGCGGTCTATGTAATGAAATAATTGTGGTCTGTTTTGGGTCACAATGTCTCTCCATTTTAGTAATGACAGTTTATGATTCAAAACTCACTCTGAGATGTTAACTTTTTTAGTGAATATTAGAAAAAATTAGAAAAGCAAAATGTGTATGTCAGAAACTTCCAAACTTTGGTTCTCAAACTTTTTGGATTCCTTGGCATTGGAAATGAGATCTGTGGGCCACTTTCCCTGGGGTGCACTTGCCTCTGTACTTAGACCTACTCTACTCTTGTCCTGCTAATTAGCTTTTATTGTTTCAGTAAGGGAGTCATAGACTTTCACTGTGAGAGCAGGGATGTAGAGTGGATGGAAAGGAAGATTGCTCCTATCCTAGAGATAGGATTTCCTTTGCTGGAACTTTCCTTAGCATCCCCGATCTCTCCCTTTCTGGGGCTCCCTGGCAACCTTTTCTGCCTTAGTTAAATATTTGAAATGTTATAGTCTGTATCTACACAGGGAGTGATAGCAGTATGAGCATTCCATCTTATTGGTGGTTTTTCTAACAGCAAAAACACCTGGAGGAAATAGTTTTGTGGCCCCTCTTAGATATCTCTAAATCTTTGTTTTACATTCTGTGCACCTCAGATTCAGATTTAGAAAGTGCTGATCGACCCATTCCAGTGGCGCTCAGATTTCCCAATGAATTGGTAGCACCATGGTACCAAGAGAGGGCGAACTCCCGACTCAGCTGGCATTGGTCGCCACTATATCAGCTTGTATCTTGAACAAACTAATAATAAATATCGTCAAATGAGGGAGTAAGTGAATGAACAATTCATTGTGTTCCTTGGGGCAATGCTACCTACCAACTTATTGGCAGCTTTCTGGCTCCTGGGGTTGGTGTAGTCTGTGCTCACTTGGTTTATGAGACAAAGAAACAAACAAAAAAAAACACAGATGGAAAAACAAATAAAAGTCCAAGCAAAAGCATTGTCTTCTATTTAGATTTTAATAAAACTGCCAAATTCAGTTTTATGACCAAACTCTGCTTTAGCCGGTAGGAAAATAAGGAATTGCTCATTGTGGCCAACAGGCGTTGCATTGAGCTTTTTGGTTTTGTTTATATTTATGCCTTTTATTTTTTTTAAAAAAACAGCTTTATTGGGTGGAATTTAAGAAGCAAGACAAACGAGCAAAGGTAAAAAAAGACAAATTAAGAAACAGACTCTTAACTATAGAGAACAATCTGTTGGGTGGGGGGGGTAGGAGGGCTGGGTGAAACAGGTGAAGGGGATTAAGGAGTGCACTTGTGATGAGCACCAGGTGTTGTATGGACGCGCTGAATCACTATATGCTACACCTGAAACTAATATTAACACTCAACTAACTGGAATTATCATTTTAAAAATTTTTAAAAAAATCAAAGAACATACACACGCAAAACCAGCTTTATTGACATCTAGCTCACATACCATACAGTTCACCCATAGTAAGGTGTGAGGAGCAGCAGGAATTTATAGACAAAAGTGGAAAGAAACTCATCTGGACTTAGTAACTCCTTTCATGTAAGAGCAATGGGAAGAAGAGGAAGGGATCCGACAGCACTTCTGTGCTCGTGTTTGCTAAATCCTTTATAGAAAACTGTGGTTGAGAAAATTTCATTTTCTGTGCAGATCAATCCAGAAAATCAGTAGAGCAGGGTTTGTAGTATTTGACCAAGTTTTAAGTGGTACATACTATGTGTATTGGATGTCCCACAACTTCCCCAAGTTCTGTTTTGCTAGAAGGACTCTCAAGCTATTGAAGCTCAACGGCTCAGCTCCACGGCTAAGATTTATTACAGCAAGGATACAGAGCAAACACAGCTGGAAGGAGATAAGTGTCCTCCAGAGAAGTCTAGCATACACTTCCTAGTCCTTACTCTTTGCTGCACAGGACGTGCTTTGAACTACAGGGATGTGTGTGTAATGTCCTTGCTCAGAGAAGCCCACTCTGTCCTCAGGATCTGTGGCTTTTACGTGGGCGTGCTGATTGTGTAGGCATACCTTGCTAGCAACTAGTCACAGCAACTGAAACTCCGATCCCTCAACAGTGAAACCAAGTGTACATTATCAATGTTGATGGTTGTTCAAAGCAACCCTAAGAACCCAAGCTGTCATAATTTGTTGTTCAGGTCACAAAACAAAATCATCAGTCACTAACATAACACTCCAAGGGCCACATTCCCACGGGTTGGTCAATGGTCAATGATGGTTCTCTTGGAGACATGCAAATAATAACCAGATATACTGTGTTACCTCTCTCCTCACATGAATGGTGATGTTTTGTGTCAGATTAGGTTATATATCTACAAAGGTGTTTAAACTCCTGCCTTATAGAATTCAGTTCAGTTCATAGAAATGAATTCTAAAAAGTTCCTGCTTTCAAGAAGCTCATAGTCATAGTGTGATAAGTGTAATAAGAGAAGCAAGTTAGTGTTAGTATGGACGAGACAGTGATTAAACGTCACGAGTTCCTTGATAAGAGAATCTTTCTGGAGGAAGTGCCATCTAACTGAGCAAAATCTGCTATCTTAAGGCTCACTCGACATATTTCCTTCACACACAAATGCATTTTCTAAAACAAGTTTCATAAAAGCAATTATTCATTTAACAAGTATTCATTGAGTATTTCATATACCAGACACTGCTAGGTTCTTGGAATACCAAAGTGAACAAGACAAAATCCATGTCCTAATGGGGGCTTAATGTCTAGTCATTTTGCTTTACTATAAAAGGAAATAGAAGAAATAAGATGGTCTCTGTGTGAAACAGCTAAAATCGTTTTCTAGTTCATTAGTAGCGATGGTCATGAATTCCTAAAGACTTTGGATTAGCATAATCAAGGAGAAAAAAATCTTAGCTTTATTTCCTTACCATACAGTAAAAATATCTCAAGAAAGGGTAAATTGATCAAGTTGTCATTTTCTAAATCTTTTATTGAACATGAGAATGTGTACCCCAAAGACTAGTATTTTGTCCATAATTATGTCATCCTTGTCATTGTTCTTTTCCTTCAATAGCGGAGGGAGAACTGTACACATTTGGAGAACCGGAGTGTGGGAAGCTAGGTCTTCCCAATCAGCTGCTGGTCAATCACAGAATGCCCCAGCCGGTGCCTGGAATTCCCGAGAAGGTGGTCCAAGTAGCTTGTGGTGGAGGGCACACTGTGGTTCTCACAGGTACGTGTGGATCCTACTGCTCTGTTCCCTGCTTTCTGGGGTGGCTAATAATTAAAAAAAAAAAAATTACACTCATTTTCTTCTATTATGATAAAAACACTTAACATCTGATCCACTCTCTTCACAGATTTTTAAGTCTATAATACAGTATTATCTACAGGCACAGTGTTGTACAGCAGATCTCTAGACCTTACCTTGCATAGCTGAAACTTTATACCCATTGATTAGCGGCAGCCCTTTCCCCCTCTCAGCCCCTGGCAGCCACCACCCTAGTCTGTGCTTCTGTGAGCTTGACTTTATTAGACACCTCATACAAGATGGCCTCACATCTTTTTTCATTAAGATCCCCATCTTTGATTTCCGTAGTTAATACACATCTTTGGCCTATGGAAGAAAATTGTAAGTAGGAAAAAATGAATCTTGTGGAATTGTTTTTGCTAACATAATGGACTGGCAGCAGATAACATTGTTTTTAGCTTGTTTTCAAGGACAAACTGCCGTGTGTGTGTGTGTATTCTATATTTATCTAAAATTGATATCACTTGTGTGTGTGTGTGTTCTTTTCCCTGTTCATGCTGTTGTCTATATGTCATTGATAATTCTTTGTGATATTCACAGTGTAAAACTTGGTAATTTCTTTGTGATTTTTTATGTTCTATTATAGTAATTCAACAAAAAGTGTTAAGATTTTAAATTACAGATATTTAAAGAAAGTTAGAACCTTAATAGCAATGTCAGTTTTGCCTTCTGAATTTTATATTTGGTATGACATGTCATTTTTCAGGATTCCAGTCAATATGGTAGAATATAATCCTTGATATATCCTTGATAATATGCCTACTAAATTGCTGCCTCCAAATTTGTTCAACATTAGATTTATTTGAGTAGCATACAGGTAATACAGCTAGTGAATTATTATATTTTTTTGGTCAAAAAGAAATTAACAGTTTCTGAAGTCACCACTTAATCTTCAGTAGCCCAAAGTTAGCAGTGTTGTAGGCAAATTTTGAATAATATCCAATTCTCAGATGATATGCTTACTGTTGCAGGGTGATTGAGCGATATTTTATCTTTAGATTTTCCTCTCTTAGATCGCTTTTCCTTGACTTTTGTTCTAGTCCAAGTCATGCTTGTTAAGCGGTGGTTTCCCAGAATTACAATTCCCAGATGGAATCTGTTTCCAAGTTAGAAATGATTTTTTTTCAAGGCCTCCATTCTATATTTGGAAATAATTCTGAGGTTTAAGATTTCTTTGATTTTTCTGCTAACAAAATGAATTTCCATATATTTTTAAGAAGATTTATTTTAGGAATTTTAAACTTAGAAATTAATCTATAAATTATCTGAAAATGTATTCTGTAGGCAGAAATTCAACTTATTCCTTATGTGTTCTGTAATTTCTCTAGTTTAAACAAACATTATAGAATTTATTAGGTGATTGAAGGTTATTCTAAAGCACACAAATGTTGATTATGTAAAAATAACATCATTCAACTATATATTATAAAATATCATTACATAAAATGAGCACCCAGGTAATCCATGATACTTTTAATTTTACTTAAAATTTTAAAATGCCCTGAAGTATGATATTTTCTTGCAATATTATAGACATTTAGCTTTCTGTGGACTTAATTTTGAGGTTAAAAACTATGTTGCCAGAAATTATTCTCTCTAGATTTTTGTACTTTGGGATCTCACATACCAGTAAAGTTTTTGTATTTTAAGTTTTTAATTTTGTGACAAGAATATGAAGACCAGCAGATGGTTGCGATCTTCTGATGTGCATTTGGCTAAATACGGCATTGCAGAAAAAATGCAACCTTTTCACCATTGTATCATAAATAAGGGGGCATTTCAAAACAAAAATTAAAAAGCTCTCAATTTTATTGTAAAAGACACCCTCTTTTATATATTTCCATACAGATTTCCATTTTATATTTTCCATACAGATAAGTGAGTTAGATTCACTTATCTGTATGGAAAATTTACTGCTTTGCCCATTTTTCAAATTTCTCCATGGACCTGTGCAAGCTCTATTATGTGCCAGCCCTGGTGAGAAACCTGTGTTCCGGAGTACAGTGTAGACAGAAATAGTCCTAACTGATGAAGAAACAGACCTGAAGCACATATTGATTATCAGTTTGACTAAGGACTAAATTGAATACCTAAGAGTTATAGAATACTTTGAAGACCTTAAAGGAAAGAATAGCTAACCATCTGTTCTAGACCATTCCCTTCACCAAAGGAAAGGGCTTGGATTAGATGATTCTATGGGGGCCCTCCCTAGCATTGTTTTTCCCCTTTTGTCTATAACTCTGATCTTAAAATCTGTTTGGGTACCATTCATTAAACTACTTTAAAGATAATTTAAATTAATTCATTGCCAGTGAATTTATTTAAAACATAATATTCCACGTGACCGTAAGAGGTTAGAAAATAAAACTATTGGTTGTGGCGATGGTATGATTAGTTTCTACTTTGAATCAGGAAAACAGTGGACTGCTGAGAAAGTGTCAGCTTGGAACTTGGGGTACACTAAAGCAGAGTGATAGACGTAATCTGGAATGTCATCGCCAGCATTAGCAAAAGCTAAGAAAGTTATAAGATGGGGTCCACAATGAAGTCTGGATCCCAAGGGAAAATAAGAACTTAACTTCTCTAGATTATATTTGGACAAACTCGGGATCTCTACAGGGCAACAAGTTACTAGTCATGAAATCGAATGTATTCTGAGAAATCAGAATAATATTCGTATGAAGCCACCTACTAAAACCTGTTTTCCTAATAGAGTATCATTTGTCAACATCGAATTACATTGTTAAATGTTACAAAGATGATAAGACCAACAATTGGGTGAGTTGTTATATGTAATGTCCTCAGGTAAAAAAAAAAAAAAAAAAAAAAAAGTAGAGACTGTCATCACTGCTAATCAGCCAAGTACCTGAAAGCGAACCCGATAGGGTAAGGAGCAAAACTTCTGTCACTTGACTCCAGCTGCCTGAATGGCCTCACTTCACAGGCTATCTCCAACAGCCCACGTAACCTAGAGTGATCAGCGGCCAGCTAGAGGTGGACAGTTGTCTTCATTTACCCAGCGTTCTACTGTTAACCCGACATTCAGAACTGGTGACATGCCATGTGATTATTAATTAAACTAAGAGATGGTACTTTTTACATTAAAATAAGGATGTTTTGCCATAGCCTCAGTGTGGCTTCATATCCTTGACACAGCATATTTTCTTTAAGAGGTATTATCTCTCTGTCTTATTTATGAAGTAAGCATTATTAGACAGGAAAAATGTAAAACCATACGACAGTAGATAGTTATGTGTTCATCAGGATCCTCCACTCTCAGAAATAAGATGAGTCGATTAGTTACTTTTAAGAAAAATGTTCTTACAATGGAATGTCCTAGTGTGTGTTCAAATCTGCCTGAATGCTTTCTCACGTAAGCCTCACAGCAACTCTATTAGAGAGGAATCATAACCTCAGAGAATTTAGGTAACTGGCGTGCTGGCCACAGCCAGTAATAATGGAGGTTTGGACTCCTGCCTGAATCCAAAGCTCTTGCTCTTCCTCCTGTATGCAGAGAGGCGATGTGTGGGACTTTGGAGAAGGAGACCACGCTTCCTGACTCAGGGCCAGACAGAGTTTTGTGTCTAAAGGGACCCTTTCGTCACCACCCATTTATCCTGTTTTTGTGCTTTTCCATTTCTCGAAAACATATGAACTAATGTTTACTAAGTTATTGGAGGTCCTTCGGAGTCAAAAAATATTAACATAAAGGAAAAGCTTTTGTCCCCCCTTTCATTATTGTTGTGCTTCCTAGTGAAGGAACTTGACCTATGAGTAAATCAAGCATATCTACGGTGAGTTTCAGTTCTCATGCAAATTCTCCTCTGAAATTGTTTTACAAAATAGATTATTCTGTTAAACTATTTTTGAGAAGTAAGGAGTTCTTCTGTAGGAATCACTACTCTTTTTTAAGGCAATGAAAGGAATTAGCTTAATGACAATTGATGCTGTTTTTAAAGAGCTGAGTGGGTAATTATAGGGACATGTTAGGTAGTTCACTGACTGATGTGTCTTTAGCAATTCTTTTTACGGTCATATGTGAAAGGTAAAATCAGGCCCATGCCATAACTTTTATAATCGTGTGCCTTGTCATTTTTCTCCTCCTTCGTCATTGAGAATGTATACCTCAGCATTAGGTATTCTTACATGGATGTTTCAGAGGCACTTAACTTTCATCACAAAAGTTTGACTGCAACAGTTTTCTAGATACGATGGTGACAGCATCCGCTTCCCTGCAATCTTTTTCTTGTATTTGCTCATTCCCTTTCAGAGAAAGCCGTGTATACCTTTGGGCTGGGACAGTTTGGTCAGCTGGGTCTTGGTACTTTTCGTTTTGAAACTTCGGTACCCAAAGTCGTTGAGCATATTAAGGATCAGAAAATAAGTTCTATTTCCTGTGGAGAAAATCACACAGCTCTGATAACAGGTACAGATGAGAATTTCCGTTACATATTTCTAGAATGGGGTATGTTTTACTACAAAATACAAACTGTGTGGAACGAATGCATCTAACGTAAGCAAAGGAATCAATAACTGAGAAAATGGGAGTTCTTGTTTCATATGCCGAAGTTGCCAAAGTGTAAAGTTGTAAACTCTTTTTTAACATTTCAGTTCAATTTCAAATCAGTGTAAATGATCCAAAGATTTAGAACCTCAAAACAAGTAATTGCTGTCAGAGGTAATATCACAGTATTATACTTTGGCAGAAAGCTGGAATCTTTTTGAAATTGCATCAGTTTGAAGGCTCTTAACTCTGCTCAGGCCAGAGGGAAAAGTCTTACAGGAAAGAACTTTAAAACGTTCTCCATGTTCAGTGTGACACAGCTACATACAGGCTGAGTAAATGCCTATGAAGCTTTTGCCGCTAGGAGGCATTTCCAGGAGTGACTCTGCTACTTTCTGCACAGTGATAGAAACGCGCCTCAAAGGCCACTAGGTGGATACCTGGCTCCTCTAGACCTGTTGCTCTGTAGTTTCTCCTTTATCCAGGGAGATACTGCTTTGGGCCTACTTCTCAACCTCAAAAACTAGGTGCTGCTAATACGGACCCGATAAAGATTCTCCCCTAGAAATAACTCACCTGTAGGTAATTGATATACTCCACAATTGTAATTACTTTGGAACAAAAGCCCCTGTAATTTCACTATTTCTAGCCCACGTTTCTATCTAAAAATGAAATTAAGCATTAAAAAGGCAGAAATCATACAGTATTTTGAAATAAGCAGATACGGGTATTTCAACATTTGTTTCCTTTCTAAAAAAGCTACTGCTAAATGGAGCTCATCTAATGGTATCTAATTGGGGCAACTAGTAATCCGCAAATACAATGTATACTACCGTATACTGTTCCTTCTTCCCCAAAGAGCCTTTCAGAGAGAACTACCTGCCCATTTTCAAGTGTCAATGTCTTTGTTAATGTAGCGTGAAATAGAACTATATAGAATGTAAAGAATTATTATTCATTCATAGTCCCAGAAGAGTTGATATGTATCCCTTACTGCAGGGTCCTAATGTCAATTTCGCTGTCCTTACTGCTGTTTTTCATCAACCCTAAATTGCCATTGATGGGAAACACGTACTTTTTATGGATCATCTAACACACAATTAGATTATTTGGTTCAACTTTCATACTACCTTTCCCCCTGATGAAAGAAGCGACAGCACAAATAATTGAACATTAACTTTGTTTGCTTTTTGCTCATAAAGCTTCGTCAGGGGACAGGTGTTACGAATTTTGTTTCTTTCAGGACTAACAAGAGGTGTGTAGTGAGTTATTCTGTAAGTTCTTACTAGTTCCCCATTATGTAGCCAGTGGCTCAGGGTTTAAAACTTTCAAGAAAGTTCGAAGTACAATCAGGTAGCTTGGATCAGAGTTTATCTTTTCTGGCTAAAGATAATCAAGTTAAAACACAAAGCCTAAAAAGCACTTTTGGTAAAAAAAAAAAATCAAGGGTCAAAAGAAGAGGAAGAAGAGAAAAGAAAAAAAAAAAAGTATATATAAAGAAAGGAAACAAGTAGCTAATAGTAAGAAATATAAGAGTCTAAATTTGGGGTTGAAATACTGGTTATTGTTTATTAATAGGGCATTTATTTTCTGTATTTTTTTGAGGATTTATTTATTTGAGAAAGTGAGCGAGCGAGAGAGAGAGAGAGAGAGCAAGCACACAAGCAGGAGGGGCAAAAGGAGAGGGAGAAAAAATCTGAAGCATACCCCGTGCGCTGAGCACAGAGCCCGACGCAGGGCTTCATCTCAGGACCCTGAGATCATGACCTGAGCTGAAACCAAGAGTCAGAGCTTAACCGACTGAGCCACCCAGTCGCCCCTCTGTATTAATTTTTGAACTTGACACTTTACTGAATTATTTTTTTCTCCTCGTTTTTCCTTCAGTTCTCTTGGATTTTCTTAGTATGAGATTACTTTGCCATCTTTTTTTTTTTTTTTTTACTTTGCCATCTTAAACCAGAAGTTCCCAGATGTGATCTTATCATTTCCTGGCTTAAAACCATTCATTCAATTTATTGCCGTTAAGATAGAGTTCAGAAATTCTTAATATGAACCAACAGAGTCCTCTGTAGTGTGGTTCCTTCCTACCTTTTCAGACTCAACTCGTACCACTGGCCCCTTCGTGCTCCAGGCACATCGGTTGCCTTTCAGTTTCTTGACTGTGTTATGTTTTCTCTTGATTCAAAGCCTTCATATGTGTTTTCTCGCAGCTTGTACCCTAATCATCCTTCAGGTCTGTTTGAAAGCCTTCCTTAATCCCCGGACTAGAAGGAAATCCCCCTCTTCTGCACCCATCCTGGCCCCCTTTCCTTTCCTTCTGCTTCCATGGCACTTTCCACCACTTGAGAGAGAGGGTGTTAAGGAGGGCTTGAGAAGAGGAGTGAAGGTTCAGAATAGCTGCTCTGGCAGTGGGCAAAAGGGTTAACTGGAGAGAAACAGCAAGACTACTTATCATTATCGTGGGCCATAGAGGGGCCCTCGCCGTTGCTATAGGGACTAGTCAGCATGGTTGGTTTATGGCACTTCCCTCAGCAGCATTCCACAGCCCAGGAACTGAGTCAGTAAGAGAGACAGTGGGATTGATCTAAGCTGGTAGTTTCCCACCAGCGGCCATTTTGTTGCCCAGGGACACACGACAGTGTCTGCATACGTTTTTGATTATCCCAGCTACAGAGGCAGGGTGTTTTATGGACATTTAGTAGACAGAAGCCAAGGATGCTGCTAAACATCCTACGGTGCACCGGACAGACCCACACAACCGAGAATTATCTGGCACCAAATGTCAGGAATGCCAAGGTTGAGAAACCTGAGGGGGGAAAATAGGTTGTATTGGAACATGGGGGGGTCAGAATACAAAAATCCCCTTCCCCTGGAGAAGATGGTGGGGGGGAAGAGATGGCTCATGCTGGGTTGCTGCTGTTCCACATAGTGCCTCACATGACTGGGCTTCAAGTTCGCAAACCACTGATGGCTTAGTGATTTATTCTCACAGTGTCTGTTGCCTAATGTTATATGCAGGACCACAGAGACCACAGAGTGTGTGGAAATATCAATGGATCAGAGTAAACTCAGTGCAGCATTTGAGGGGGAAATTGTAATTGCAATATAAGTAAATATATTTGCCTATTTACAAATAGATGCGTACAAGTAAGGCTTTTATAAATCTCTTTTTTTGCATTTTAGATATAGGTCTCATGTATACTTTTGGAGATGGCCGACATGGAAAATTAGGACTTGGACTGGAGAATTTTACCAATCAGTTCATTCCCACTTTGTGCTCTAATTTTTTGAGGTTTATAGTTCAACTGGTAAGGACATCACATTTCCCTGTTTACATTTTCATATTCCTATATATTTGAGTCTTGCAGTATTTTATAGAAAATAGGTACTTTTACGTTTGTTGAAAGAATATCATGGCTTTATCTAATCAGTATACTCATTTCCTAAAAGCCAAATGTCAGACATCATGCCACTCAGAAAATCTATCCCTTTCCTAATTCTCCTCCTTTGAGCATCGTCCTGAGTTCTCACCCTAATATTGACTCTCCTGCTTTGTTCCCCTGTGTCTCTTGAGAACCAGAACTGTGCCATGCCTGGAAGCTTGGTTGTCTGCTCCAGCAACCAGCAGAATGTCTGACAATCACCCATAAATAAAGACTTATTTAAAATAATAATTTCACAATATTATGAAAGAAATGTTCAGAGTATGCTATTCTTATAACCACCGTGTAGAACACTATAAAGTTGCTAAAAAAAATCTGTGTATTACAAATACTACACAATAGTTTTTTAGGCATTTTATTGAGAATCAGTTCTTTCTCAAAATCCTTTGAATGTTGGTTTCATTTTTCCTTGTTCCACCATAGTGCATGCTTACATTTTGCTCTAAGGACTTTTAAGCATTGAACTTCAGAAGTGTTCATGTAAAGAAAAAGGTTTGGAGGCATAATTACCCCAAGAGACTGATTTCTTCTTGGATCACTTTTTTCCAAGCAGAACTTCTCTGGGTAATTTTTTTCAAGGTGTTTGTGTTACTCTCAGATTAAAATAACATTGTTTTTTTTGTGAGGAGAAACATAATGTGCCAGATAAATTGGAAGTAAAATGGTGTGTTAAACTTGTTCTAATTTTCAAGTGTAGTGTTTAAAGAAGACATTATAATTCGTGTGTGTGTGTGTGTGTGTGTGTATTTGGGAGGAGGGGAGAGACACACTGACTACCCAGGAAGTCTACCATTAAGTAAATATTTTGTAGCTGAAAACTGTTAAAAACCCATTTGTGTTTGAAATCATTGTTGATTAATCAATATGTGGTTTTATGCTGCAGGTGGCTTGTGGTGGGTGCCACATGCTTGTTTTTGCCACTCCACGACTCGGTGGGACAGAAGAAATGGAGTTAGAAGAGATAAACGATTCTTACTTCCCTGCAGCACCTTCTCTGCCCCTCAGCGATCTGAGCTCAGGAAATGTACTGAACAGGACTCTGTCAGCACGTGTGCGGCGAAGAGAGAGGGTATAGAGTTGGGGCCAGTTCTATATCATGGCACTGCAAAGAGAATGGGAAAAAAAATTTCATTTTCTTTTTAAATCAAAGAAGGGTCTTTTAAGGTAGATTTACTAAATAAAATGGTTAGAGGTGCAGGCTTACAAACTTAAAGCAAATTCAGAGTTAAGCTGTTAAACACACAAATGAGAAAATTCAAATAATCATGGATAACCTTGACTTAATAGAGAGTGGATACAAAGCAAAGATACAGAGCATCCTTTTAGAGGCCTATCTTCACACTTCAGGTTGAATGCTGAATTATTTTCTCCATATGGATTGACTTTTACTTTGCTTTTTATCTTTTAGTTACACCTCATGAGCCATGGAAGGTTATACACTATAAACAATGAAATGTGGGAAACAGAGAAATAAGGACTTCAATTCGAGATAGGGAATGTTCTTTCTCGTTTAAATTTAAAGGTTCTCATTCTGCTTTAAAATTATTATTTCAGTGACACTTGTATTTAAAAAAAAACAAAAAGAAAATGCCAAATAATTTTTAAAGGAGACATTCCTTTTTTAAAGAGTTGCTTTAAGTTCCAAAACATTCCCTTTGAAGTAAAAAAGGTTAGGTTTGGCTTCTTGTTATGAAAAAGTGTATATGGAAGGACTGAGAAATAGCAGTATTTTGTAGTTAATTGTTTAGGTCTCGTGACTAATTTTTTGTTTCCTAAGGAAAGCAGAGACAATACACATACACTTTTCCCATCGTGTGAAAAACAGACTTCTAATTTAACAATTTAGAGCAACTTAGATACAGAGATAACAAAACAAAACATTTTTGAGTCCTTGGGGATAATTTAAAAATGAATGTGGGACAGTGGGCAACTTTGAAGTCTCTCTCTTAAATATTTTTAGCAACTGGGGGGTAGTTTCTGTCAATACTAAACATATAACATCATCTAATAGTTTATTTAACCTGTTTATTTTAAAGGAGAAATCACCCGATTCTTTTCAAATGACACGAACTCTACCTCCAATCGAAGGAACTTCTGTACCACCAGTTTGCTTTTCCCCCAGGCCAGTTCCTTTCTATATGTCTGCAAGTAAATGGCCAGGGAAAATGATACTTGAAAAGGAGGACCCCATGCTGCCAGTGGAACCAGGTAACAGCTGATACTCTGCCTGCTCACAGGAAAAGTGTACTTTTTATTCCTACTGGTGTCATGTTTATCTTAGGATGTTCTTGCCAATTAACTTGTTTTCTTCCTAGTTGGAGGCTGACATCTCTTGTTTGAGTTCCAGTCCGGGAATGCTCTTACAAATACAAAGCCTCACCAGTGACCCCAAAAATCCCATGTAACAATAGCAGCATATTTTTATAGAGCAATGTATAACATACGTAGTACCTTCTCTTACGTTACCTCCTTTAAACCCTGAAGCAGCTCCATGAAATAGGTGGGAGTTCTAAACTCTTCATTTGGATCGATGAGAGAAGCAAGGCTTGAAGAGACTGAGTGACTTGGCCAAGGTTACTCAACTTATAAATGAAGAGAGCCAGATTTGAACGTGAATCTTCTGAACCTATGTGAAGTCTTGCATTTAGGCAGTATACCATAGTGGTCAAGAACATGGGGTATGGGGGCGCCTGGGTGGCTCAGTTGGTTAAGCGTCTAACTCTTGATTTCGGCTCAGGTCATGATCTCAGGGTTGTGGGATCGAGCCCCGCCCAGCGTGGAGCCCTCTTAAGATTCTCTCTCACCCTCTCCCTACCCTCCCCCTCCCCCCCGCTTGCATGCATGTTCTCTCTCTTTCAAGAAAAAGAAAAGAAAAAAGAAAAAAAAGAGCATGGGGTATGGAGTTAAACTGATCCGGGGTCAGATGCCAGCTCTGACATTTATTAACTGTGTGCCTTACTTTGGGGAAGTTACTTAATTTCTCTAACCCTCAGTTTTCCTATCTTTGAAATGAGTTTAATAATACTTCTTTAGAGTGATTGAGATTAAATGAGATAGGGTGTATAAAATACTTAGCATTGAGCCTAGCACCTCCAGGAAGCTCTTTATAAGTTATAGTCATGGTTATTATTAACACTTCTACCTCACTGCTTTTTAGATACACATTATATTTTAAATTGTAATCCCAGCTCTTTTGTTATTATACACCTCTTTTTTTAAAAAAAGATTTTTATTTATTTATTTGACAGAGAGAGAGACAGCGATAGAGGGAACACAAGCAGGGGGAGTGGGAGAGGGAGAAGCAGGCTTCCCGCGGAGCAGGGGGCCCGCATCGGGGGCTCGATCCCAGGACCCTGGGATCATGACCCGAGCTGAAGGCAGACGGTTAACGACTGAGCCACCCAGGCACCCCTATTATACACCTCTTGTAAATAATTTTGTTTATAGGCATTTATGTATCTTAGGAGTGTGTATATGTTACTAAAGGGCATATGCTTGAATAGTAGGGGCAGGGCAAGAAGCCAGGATCAAGAGATCAGAGTAAACAGTAGGTTTGGAATTAAGATGATTTGGGCACATGGGATTAAGAACCACGGCACGGATAATTTTTAGTATCTTTGGGATCAAGAACCTAGGCAAAAGTTGAGGTAGTAAAAGCAGGAATTGTGGGCCATGGGCATAGATCTACAACTAGGACCTTGATTATGAGCCAGTTCCTTAAACGGTATTTTTTTTTTCAAAGGTTTATTTTATTTTAGAGAGAGAGAGAGAGAACATACATGTGGGGGGAGGGGCAGAGGGAGAGGATCTCAAGCATGCTCCATGCTGAGCTCAGAGCCCAGTCTCAGGACCCTGAGATCATGACCTGAGCCAGAATCGAGAGTCAGACACTTAACTAACTGAGCCACCCAGGCGCCCCGATAATGAGCCAGTTTCTCGAATCTCACACAGACCTTGTGTATGCTTCATTTTGAGATAAGCATCACTGACACCCTTCAGGCCTGTACACGGTAAAAGTGGAGTCTGACAACAGTGTGTACAAGGAAAAGAGAAGTTTATGGTTTGGGGGAAGTTGTTTCCCACTTCAAGAGATTTGAATGTGAACATATACAGAGTTTTGTAGCTAGAGCCAAAGGAAAAGCTATTCCTTATCTTTTTATGACTGTTTGCTAAAACTGTCTTAAAAGTATTCTGAAAGTTATGTCTAACATATAACATGACTTTTTCTAAATTATTTGTAGACTTCGGTGTTTATCGTGGAGGGAGGAAGGTCAGGGAGGACCTTACTGAGAAGGTGACATTTAAGCTAAAACCTAAAGGATAAGAAGGACAGCCACATGAAGAGAGAGGTTGCATGGATTCCAGGCAAACAAAATCATATAGGCAAAGACTTGGAGGCAGTTTATAAGGAAAGGAAAAAAGACTGTTGGAGCTAGAGAATGCGGGAAAAGGCTAGACGAGATGTTGGAGAAAAGAGTAAAAAGTATTCATGATTTTATAGGCTGTGAGAAGCCTATTTGATTTGAGTGCTTTTCTTAAGTGTAATAGAAAGTCATTAAAGGGTTTTAATCAGTGGAGTGATGTGCTCCAATCCAATTTACATTTTAAGATGTTCACTTTTCCCTCTGTGTGGACTGTAGGCAGGAAAGACCAAAAGTAGGAAGAATACTTAAGAGCCCTTTGCAAGAGATGATGGTGTGTGGTCCAGGATGTTTGCTGTGGAGCTGGAGAGAAGGGGGCAGATTGGGAGTGCATTTGAGACCTAGAACTAACTGAATTTACACATAGAGGTGAAGGAAAGGGAAGAATCAAGGATGATTCTTAGGCAAGAGGATGGTTGACAAGCTTGAGGAAAAAAAAAATCGAGCTTGAGATACCTGCAAGACATCCAAGCAGAAATATGGAGCAGGCAGTTGAATATGCAAGCCTAAAGTTCGGAAGGGAGGTCTGAACTAGGGAGATACATTTGGAACCCAACAACACAGAGTTGGTATTTACAATCCATGGGACTTGGTGAAATCACCTGATAGATAACAGAGTAGCAAGACAGGAGAGCCCAGGAGTCAGCCTGAAAAACATCTTACATTTAGAGGGTAAGAGAGGAGGAGCCAGCAAAGAAGTTTTCCTCAGCCCCAGTCAGTAGTAGGGTCAGAGGAGGGAAATCAGGAGAGAGTAGGGTCATGAGTTCAAAGTACTGCTCAGAGGCCAAGGAGAAAGCTCAAAGAAGCATCCCATGCATTTGGCTTCGTGGAGAGGACCCGTGATTTGACAAGAGTAGCTTCAGGGGAAGATAAGAGCAGAAGCCAGAGGGCTAAGAGTTGAGGCTTGAATGGGAAATGAGGAAGTGAAGAGGAGATAGGGTGTGTAGAGAATTCTTTTGCATATTTTGGTCATGAAGAGGAGCAGAGGAAAGGGCTGGCAACTAGAGGAGATGCGGGGTCAATGGAAAATAGTAGAGCATTTTTGTATGCTAATGGACATGGAGGGATGGGGCTGGCCTACAGAGCAGTCTTTGCATCCTATATTTCAACAGGAAAATCGAGGTAAATGTGTACAGTTGTTGGGGGGAAAGATAAGGCAGATCAGGTCTGATGGCTTTTTTCTCAGTCAAGTGTAAGGCAAGGCCGTGAGCTTCAATGATTTCTCTATTTTCCAAACCTCCATTCTCTGCCCTCTCCAGTCTATCCCATTTCGCACTTTCTACGTCAGTCTTCCTCAGGCAGAGCTTTAGTTCCCATCTGCTCCAGGGGCTTCTGGGAATCCCTAATATTTGTGAAAATAAGTGTAAGTTTCTCCATGGAACTCCCACCTGCTTTTGTAGCTTCATCTCTCATTACTTTTTCTTATAACCTTAATGCAGGTCACAGGTCTGTAAAGTACGGCTCATGAGCCACATCTAGCCAGCCACTTGTTTTTGTAATTAAAGTTTTATTGGAATCCAGTCACACGATTCCTTTATGTATTACCTATGGCTGCTTTGACATGACAGCGGCAGAGTTTGAGTCGTTAGGATGGAGACTGTATATGGCCACAAAGCCTAAAATGTTTACTAGATGGCCTTTTACAGGGAAGGTTTCCCGACTCTTAATTTTGATCAAACTGAGCTCTTCACAGTCAGACTTAGTGGAGAAGGCTGTGAAGTCAAGATAGACCTGAGACCGACACTCGGCACTTCATTTATTCATTTGTGAAGTGGGGATACGCTACTTACCTCTCTTGTTGTCATGGAGGTAACTCGACACGTGTGAAAGCATGTGTTCCAGCACATGGTCAGCCTTCAGTAGAAGCCATTCTGCTGCTTCTGTTAGCGGGCCTCACTTTCTTCTCCGTCCACCTCCACCGCTGCATCTCAGAATTCTACTCACTCTTCCCCACACCTCTTTAGTGAAACATTTCCTGATTCCCAACATTCGGGTGTGATTTCTCATGCCAATATATCCTACATTTTATATTCCCTTCAGATGATAAGTTCACTAAGAATGAGCCGTTAATTAAGTTGATTATCTTGCATGTAGCACTTCACATGAAATAAACACAAACTGATTATTTGCTCCTTTGAATTGAATGAATTTATAAGGCCGAGATCAGTGAGGACTAGCATTTTTAGCAAAGACTTCGTTCAGGAGCTCCTCTCAAATAAACATGTGGGTGCTAAATGGGGGTGTAGTAATTGAGAAAAATGTAACATCAAGTAGAGCTCGTAAGTTTTAGTTACCTGCTCGATGACATAATAACCTGGCAGTTTTCCATGAAAGTTTCTAGGTGCTTGTACTAGTTATCTGATTTTTCACATAACAAGTGGCCTTAAAACTCATCTCACAGAGTTTGTGAGGGTCAAGAATCCAGGAGCAGCCTGGCTGAGGGGTTCTGGCTCAGAGCGTTTCATGCAGTTGCAATCATGCTTCAGATGGGGCTGTAGTCACCTGAAGGCTCCACTGGGGCTGAAGGATGCTCGTCCATGCTCACTCGCGTGTGGCCATTGGCAGGAGGTTTTACTTCCTCAGTGCATGGACTTCTCCCTAGGAATGGTCCTAGCATGGCTTCCCCCGGAGAAAGTGATGCAAGAAAGACAGAGTGGGGGGACCGAGATAGAAACTGCAATGACATCACAATTATGGCTGCTTTGTTTTGTTGGCCATACGGAACAACCTGGTAAAATGTGGAAGGGAGCGACCCAAGGGGACCCATATCAGGAGGATGTGGGTCACTGGGACCCTTTTTGGGGACTCACTGTTACAGTGCTTGATACCTAGGTAGTAGTTCTCCCAAAGGTATAGTGTTTGCCTGTTCATGTGAAGGAAGCAGTTGCTGTCTCATCAGCATGGAAGTCTTTGAACTTTCAGAAAGAGACTTTAAAACCTCTTATCACTATGAATGAACTCTGTTCAAGTCCCTTAACATGAGGTTAAAGGACTTTAGTAAAATTATGCCTGCACTTTATATTACAGCATAATTTATTGTCCAGTTGTCTTTCAATTTTCCATTGAAAGCTGGTTTTCTCTTTTCCCTTTTAATCAGATTATTTTCAGGATAAAATGGCCAAAGGGAAAGAGACAGACAGTTCTTCAGCAGCAGATTCAGGAAGCCTTGGAGAAACTACTGATGTCTTAAATATGGTAATGGTTTTCTTATTTATCTATATAGATATGTTCGGATTTCAGTTCATCATGTATTTGTGTATGTGTACATCCTGTGCTGTTCCTTGCATTAAAAAAGGTTTTGGTTTCATTTTGTTTGTTATTTTTATATGTTATATGTTTATTATTTTATTGAAGTATAGATTACATACAATTAATTTTGATCCTCGTATCATTAGTATGCAGTTGAGAGTAGATTATATTACTCTCTGAACTGTTTTGTTCATTTTATATATAAGGATGTATAAATATATAATCTCATATATAGTCTTTATTCTTTTTAGAACATATACTTTTTATTTATTGCAGACACATATGATGAGCCTGAATTCCAATGAGAAGTCATTAAAATTATCACCAATTCAAAAACAAAAGGTATAATATAGAGAGTTATTCTCATTATGGTGGGTAAGAACAGTTCATATTTTTTCTCGAAAGTTTTCTGGAAAGAATACATGAAAGATAAGTATTCATTTACTTTAGATTTTAAAAGAGGATTACATTGTAGGTAGTCTCAACTTGGGTTTGTTCTGTTGGTATCTATTTCGGATATATGACAGGATTTCATTGCTGAAATTTGCTTTTTGGTGTCACTAACAAGTCATAGTAGCCACATTTTCTTATCATCAAAGCAAAGGATTATTATGGCAGCTCATAAGTATTAGAAGAGGCTACTGTTGATCAGAATGGTTCTCGGACTTGGGTTGAGTATGATTTTGGTTGAGTTACCGTGTTGTTCTCAAAGATGATATTAACATCTTTTCTAGCTCTAAAATTTGATGGTTTTAGTGAAAATATTTGATAATTGCTTTTCCAGTGTGTGGAATGGGCTTTAATCTATCATGGAATTGATAGCCTAAGAACAAAATTAAACATTTGGAAATTAATCAGAAACTATGCATGGGTGATAAAGAGAGACTTTTAATGAATAACCAGCGAATAGCAAGAGGAAGGAATAGTTGGTGGTTTTCACAACCCTGGAGAGATAAAGGCCTGCCCTGAAATCCTTTGCTTCTCCTGGCTTTACGGACCAGACTTTACGGGGTGAAAGGAAGGAGGGGTTTGGGGATTAGAAAAGTAAGTTGGAGAAATATGAATCGAAGGAAGAAGGCTTCTAGACAATATTTAATTTCTATTTCCAGTGCCTTTGCCACATTATTAAGCTAAAAATCCTTACAGTCAAAGTCACCGAAATGCAAGAGAATCTTGCTGAATTATGAAAATTTAGTGCCAGTCTTTGTTAGTCTTACCTCTGTTTTACTGAGAGGCATGGTGAGTAACAGCATTCCTTTTGAATATGGGAGAACTGTTGTCCTAGCCCAGTGTGGAAGCTCAGCAAAGGTTGACTGACTTTATTGACTGACTACACTTCCAAGCACACAGCTTTCCTGTGTCTCTCCTGCCTCTTCTCTTAGACCCGGGGCTCTGCCTCTTCTGAACTATTTGATTATGCTAGGGAAATAAAGACACATACATTTAAAAATCATTTCTGGCAACCAGGCCTCTCTGCCTCTCTTTAGGGCTCTTGAAAGAATTGTGACTTTTTAAAGAATAGGATCTAGAACAAACAGAAGGAAAGCACTTTCTTTTAAACTGGTATATATTTTATACTCCTCATAGTCCTTTTAAGTAGAGGCCCGACCAGACTTATTTTAGTGAATGAAAAAAAGATTTGTTATAGTATTTCCATATATTGATGTTTAACTTGTGCTGTGTTAATTTTTGTGGTTTTTGGGGGGGGGGGGCAAAAAAATGACCTCTTCCTAAGCCTAGCACTCACGACAATTTGTAACACTTGATTTAGTGAAGTTTTACTCTCCAGAGACGCAAATTCATCAAATATTTGAATTCATTAGCTTCCAGAATTTAGGTCAACAATTTGATTTTTGCCTTATTTTGTCCAGCAGGAAATGAATTTCATATTCTTAATGTATCATTCAAATTGCAGTGTTTAATTTCATAGTTTTTATAAAAATCCTAACATTTTACCCTAGATTTTTTTTTCCACATAGTGGTTAGTTTCATGTATGCAAGTTATGATAATTAAAGAATGTAATAGATAAAAGGAAGAGGGTCAAAAATTTGAAAACTCAAAGATTTGTTTTGAAAAGAAACATATTATTTAGTATGCTGATGAAAAGATTTCATTTCAGATTTTTCTTGTAGAAGTACATTTTTTCCAATATTTAACAATGTCATATTTTCTTTAATTCTGTGAATTTCACGGAATTAAAAGACCAATCAAAATTTGACAATTAAAATAGCAGGGAAGGTGGGAAAAAAAGGAAACTGAACCCGACTGCATGCAAGAGAAGTGTGTACATTTTTTTTTTACCAGTATTTTGCACAATCATCAGTCTGGAAAGGTATTCTATTTAAGACTTGATTCAGATTAAGAAAAGGGGTAGAGAAGACATACTGATGGTCCTTTGTGAGTAGTGGCAACGTGAGAGCAGGTAGCGAGCGTGTGCGAGTTAGATGCAGACACGTGTGCCACAGCAGCATCCAGTGTGCCGCAGACTCAGAGAGTGGCAGAAGTTATCTCCAGTGAAAGCCAAATCTGAGCAAAACGTCTGGTAAAACTGGACATTTTTATTCTGCTAGCAAAACTTAGAGTAATGCAAAATCTTGGCAGTGTTTCATAGTAGATAAGTTACCTTTGTCAACTAATAGTAGTATGACGATTACTTCAAAAATTTACAGAAACAAGAAACAATTGAGAAACCGAAGCAGCGTACAGCTCACTCTGGAAATGATGATAGTGGAGGATTTGCAAGTGACGAGATGTCTAAAACAGTGAAAGAGGGCAAAGCCTATAAACAACTTTTGGCCAAAGGAATGTACATGATGCCAGCAGCTGTGACTATGGAAGCGTTTTCAGATGAGGACGTAGGCAATGACCCAGGCCAGCCTGGGCCTTGGGCTGACACCCGTGCAGGGTGTGTGCCAAGAGAGCTATTTAGACGTGAAAGTAAGCGCTGTATTTGTCCGCCTGACGGTAAGGCCATAGCAAAGGCAAGTGATGGAGGCCAGAGGCAGAAGGATCCAGACGCAAAAGAAACGGTGTATGAGAAGGAAACTGAGCTGGCGGAAATGGCAGATCTGGAGGCTAGGAGACGAAGCGAAGAGAATTTAAGAAATATTAATATGTTCTTTGATGACTTACCAAATAGAGATGTGATTTTTGACAGCGAAAGAGAATCTATAGAGGAGCCAGACAGTTACCTGGAAGGTGAAAGCGCAAGTCAGCAAGGTACCGCTGACAGCTTCGAGCAGGCCGAGTCAGTAGAAGTCAGTAGTGGAGAGCAGGAGGGTGACGAAGTGGAAACTGACCCAAACCTGTGGTATAGCAGGACATTTTTCGAGCGAGGACATGAGGAAGAGGCTGAATACAGAATGTCCAAATTCATGGCAAAGTATGATTTTAAGTGTGACCGCTTGTCAGAGATCCCCGAAGAGCAGGAAGGAGCGGAGGAGTCAGAAGGAAGTGAAGTAGAGGAGCGAGAGGTAAAGGCAAGTGCGGACAATGTGAAGTTGCCTGCAAGAAAACGGGAGGAGGAAGTAGAGATCCTGTCAGACGTCCTGACGGACGTCCTGACGGACAGAGCAGAGGTGAGTGAAGGCAAGGGAAAGGCAGGAGGTGGAGGTGAGGGGATCCAGCGGGAGGGAAATTCAGGAGTGGAACAGAGGCAAAGGGAGGAGGAAGACAAGGGAGGAGGAGAAATGGAGGGCCTGGGTCAGGGAGAGAAAGACCTAGAAGAGGAGGAGGGCCAGGAGCAAAGGGAGGGGGAACGAGGCCGTGAGGAAGAAAGCGACAAAGGGATGGAGGAAAGAGAAGGGGAGGAGAAGAGAGATGAGAGGGAAGGGGAGGGAGGGAGAGGAGGGGAAGAAGACAGGGAAGGGGAAGAGGAGGAGGAAGAAGGCAAGGAGGAGGGAGAAAGGAAAGAGGAAGAAGGACCAGAGGAAGGACAGGGAGAGGGGGAAGAAGAAGGAGAGGGGGAAGCAGAGGAGGAAGGAGAGGAAGAAGAAGAGGGGGAAGGGGAGGAAGGAGAGGAGGAAGGGACGAAAAGAGGAGGGGAAGGGGAGGAGGAAGGAGAGGGAGAAGTGGAGGAAGGAGAGGGGGAAGGGGAGGAAGGAGAGGGGGAAGTGGAGGAGGAAGGAGAAGGAGAAGGGGAGGAAGGAGAGGGAGAAGGGGAGGGGGAAGTGGAGGAAGGAGAGGGGGAAGAGGAAGGAGAGGGAGAAGGGGAGGAAGGAGAGGGGGAAGAGGAAGGAGAGGGGGAAGCTGAGGAAGGAGAGGGGGAAG